AGTAAATGAGTAACCATTTGAGAAAATAAAAATAAAAATTGATGATTTGCATTCTTCAGAGTCCTGCTTTTAACTAATATAAACATTAAGCCAATGAAAATTTAATTTCTTGAAATTTCATAAAAGTAAAAATATTTTTACCAAGATTTTCTTAAAAAAAAATTCATTTGCGAAGTCCTGAAAATTGAATTAAAATCCAGCAATTATTTGATGTTGCAAGAACTTCCAATTTTTTTTTTTTTATCACAGAAAAAAAAAAAAAAAAAAAAAAAAAAGCAAATTTTCCATAGTAATCTTTTGGCCTACTGCTGATGCAAAAAAAAAAAAAAAAAAAAAAAAAAAAAAAATTAAAAAATTTTCAATATGCTAGAAAGGATTAAAAAAATTTAAATAAGTTAAAATGAATTGGTCTTTCCTCTTAATAAACATTTTGATAATAAAACTTTGTTTTCATCAGGTTTGGGGGCCTTTTTCATCATACCATGCTTTTTTTTTTCAGCGAAAAAGTGGAGGTACCTATATATATCATTTCACCCCAAGAAAGACCATAAAATTCATTAGGATACAAGGAGTCACTGAGAATGAACAAAACAAAGTAAAAAAAAAAAAAAAAAAAAAAAAAAAAAAAAAAAAAACAGGATTCAAGGAGACAGAAGATTATAATTGATTATAATTTAAATTTCAGAGGAAAGCAAGAAGAAAGTTTTACAAGAAAATGCAAAAGAAACTATTAGCACATAAATTATGGTTACAAGTAGTAATTTCAACAATAAAATTATACTATGGACTATCATGCACCAATAAACTCTATACTGTTTTAAAAGCCAATCAATAACTTACATATAGGAATCAATTAGAGCATGGAGTGAATAGAATTCAAGGAAACAATTGGGAGTTAGACTTATTTCCTGTATACTTAGAACACTTAAAACTAGAAAATTCATAAATATACATTAATTTGAGAATTTATAAAAGATACATTTTTAAAATTACAGAAGAAAACAGACTATTTCTGAACAGGAACAGTACAAAAAGTACAAGAAAAACATCACTATTATTTTTTTAAAGCTCTAAATAGCATCAGATACAAAAATTTATAAATAAGAGAAACTTGATTAAACAATTAAGCAATTATGCCCACTGCAGATTCCTTTCCTTTATTATCTGTAAATTATCAGGTCTTTGAGAAAATAGTATTTTACCGTTGCCTTATCTAAAGTTTTGAAGGCAGCATAGTCCATCTCCTAGACTGGTTGACACACAAGGCAGAGCCCAATCTACCCTGCTGTTTTACCCATAGCTAAGAGAATAAAAGATGATATGTCTTTCTCAAAAGGTTATTTGTACAAAAGTGAATGCAGCAAACTAGGCCAAAATTTGAACTTGTCTCTCAGATTTCATTCTGGATGAACAACCATTATACCACCTTTGCGCTACAAGTAGTGGAAATTAAATTTATGAAAATAGAATGATATAATATATATAACATATATATATATATATATATATAACATAAAAATGAAACTATTACCCCATTCATGAGTGTGGTAGAAGAGTTCCATTTTTATGTAATTCATTTATATGCTCTATAACAAATATATTGAGCTGTTTTGTGGATCAGTTTTAATATTTCATATTACTAGGATCTACTTGGATAACTTACCCACAGATTTATATATGTTGATTTGACCACTGCAAACTTATCAAGATGTTGTATACTTCATTTTCTGGATATAAGTTCTATTGCACATCTAAAAACACATTCCTGTCCACCTTCACAATACAGGAAGATACTTGTTGCCAACAGCAATATACTACACCACGAAAATAATAAACAAAAATTTAAAATCATTATGGTTCTCTATATCAAAATCAACAAACCAATACTCAACAAATTTTATTATGAATATAGTAAGAACATTAAAATGCATATAACATTTAATACCATTTTACATTTCTATCAATTTCTGGTCAGATCCCTTATATTGAAATGCTTGTAGTTATGGAATTTTTTGGAAAACAACGGATAAATTTAAAATTACAAAGCACATTTGCACAAAAAAAAAAAAAAAAAAAAAAAAAAAAAATCACCATCACAACAAAATGCAGATTTTATTGCAGTTACAATAAGTTTGTATTTGTAATTTACCCCATGAAGATAATCTAGAGAAAGATCAAAAATACTTGGGTTAACAAAAACTATAGCACCTTCCTTGATGTATTTTATCTTATCAAGAAACTGATTAGACAAGAATTTTATTTTATAACAAAATAACATCCTTGCATTTGTTAAGATAAGTTTTCCTTTTATCTTTATTCATAGTCCTTTCACAGATATATTCTATCTGAAATTTTACACACATACACATAATTATTACAATTTTCATTTCAATGAATAATTAATCTTCAGTTTTGATTTAGTGTATATTATAATGGAGATTGCCCGTTGTGTTATATTTTTCATAATTGTAACAAACATTTTTATATTTGGGGGTATGTAAAACCTGGGGGAAAATCCATTTTCAGAGATCGAAGGTGATTAATGCAGGGTAAAAAGATAAATTTGTGTAAAAAAATGAAAAAATAAAATTAAAAAAAATAAATCAATAAAATAATATTTGAAAAATAAGTGTCAACTGCAATGTTATACAGCCTAGCAAATTTCCTTATTTCTGTTTGGTCAGGATTTTTAAGAAACTTTTTTAATCTCTACATCAGGTAAATACAAAGAACAGACTAGTTGCCAATCATTTTTAATTAACTTATAAAAACCTAAAAACAAAATTAATCCAAATCTTTTTATAAATTACTTGTTGGCATAATACAGGTTTTTGAGGTTTTATTAGCGATCCGTGTAATAACAATTTACCAGGAAAAAAAAAATAAATAAATAAATACCGTTGCCCACATCTCAAAGACATTTTGAAGCATAGAGATCTACTTGGGTTCAAACAACTATAAACTGATTTTATACAGTGACAAAAGAAAACAAAATGGGTTTACCACATGGTTTGCCACCAATAAATACAAACATAGCTGTTACAGGCTTTCATGAATTCATACCAATTCAAACAAACCAAGGACTTAAACACCAATAAAATAAATCATATCTGAAAGACTGGATCAAATTAATACTCAGAATTTTATATTTACCACATATCTCTGGATAAGACACGAGAAATTTCAGTCCTAATTTCATAGTTTCAGCTCATATTAATGATTAAGATGATACCCAAACTAGCAAGATGGTAATATTAATGTATTATTAATTGAATGCCTCATAATCAGATAAAAAGCAACCTGTGACTTGTCGGTATAAGTGAAGCATGTAATAAAATAAATATAAATATGTAGACTATCCTCTGTTGTTGTCATAGTAGTAATAGTAGTACTAAATTTGTTACATACCATCTAATGTCATGTTGACCAGCTTTATATTTTTTTTTTTAATTAAAATAACATTTTCAAGTATCCAAATGGAAGAATGAAGAATTAATTTTTCAGCAGTTATTTTTTTAAGAACCAAAAATTATACAACTCATTTTGACACTAAAAATATTTCTAGAAGTTCCTAGACAGATAATTCTCATTAAATTTTATTTCAAACTTCAACATGCGAGTTAAAAAGATAAATAAAAATTTTAAAATATATTCACATATTTTTCTTACAAAATATTCTTTTCATAAAAATGAGTCCCTTCAAGTCATGGGCAATCATGGCTCTCCATAACTTCCTGTATATTGTAGCTCTAGGCAAGACTTGTCTTTTCACTATCTCTCCTAATCCCTGTTCTGCCAACCAGTTACACAAGCTCATTAGGCAGGTTATTTAACACTTTCTTCATTTCTCTTGGCTTCCATACATCTTGAGAGTGCCATATTCTCCAAGTCTTCATTATGAGTCCAAGAAATTACAACTGATTCTAAGTATAAATGTCCTTATTGCTTCCATTTTACCTAAAACTTCCTTGCTGTTCACATGTTCAATCCATGGTATTCTTAGCATCCTTCTGGAGAACCACATCTGTTGCCTCAAGTATCTTTATCCATGATGATATTGTCCAGCATACACTATCATATAGGACAACCAATATTACATAACAGTTCAGTACTTTTTTTCTTTGTTTCTAATGAAATTTTCCTGTTTCATAATACTTTGCTTAGCTTTTGGAAGGCATCTTTCACTATTTCAAGGGACTTTCAGATTTCAGTATAGCATTTCCCAGTCTTGTTAAAACATTTCATATATATTTGAATTTTTGTGCTTGGTTGATTTTGATGTCTCCAATTTGTAATTTGCATTTTGGGTTGCTCCTTTTGCTTACAACCATATATTCAGTCTTCTTGCAATTGAGGTTTAGTCCTTTCTTCTATCTTTCCTTTACTACCTTAAGAGTACTTGTATTTTAATTTCTGTACCTGCTATCAACATGGTGTTATTTTCATTTCATAAATATAATCAAGTTTTAAAATTTTATTAAAATCCAATAATTGATTTTTCAAGAAATTTTTATAATCTTGGTGCGATTCACTTAATTGAAAGTGCACACACCTACATGCTTCAGAAGTGCCTAATAAGGTTACTCCATTTTGTATAAGGCCTGTAAAGAACTGTGCCAAATAACAAAAACCACATCATTTGAAGACTTCCAACAGCAGCAACAACTAAAGTGGATAGCACATGTAACTCAAAGAGAAAATAATATAATCAAGGTGTTGACATTTCACACTATTTTAAACAAAAGGTTAAGGAAAATCCCCATCAATACTGGAAAGAGCGATAACAGCTACTGAACTTGAAACATTTTTCGGAAAAATTATTTCAAGAGAAATATTTCATAAACTGCAACTGAAAATAGTGCTGGCTGCTAGGTCAATGAATGACAAATGTTTCCTTGTAGGGAAATGGCTAGTAACTACCATTACCATATAAAACCACCTCCAGTTTGGGAGTGATCTTTCTGAAGGATTCAAGTACTATCTTCACTAAGGTAAGTTTTATGGTCAGATCATGTTGAGACACCAGTTCTCGTACAATCACCAAAGTTAAGCAACATCAAACTTGATCAGTACCTACATGGGTGACCACTTGAGAATACCAGGTGCTGTAAGCTTGGGTGGCATAATGGATAACAGCTCCTAATTGAAAATCCAAGAGCCGAGTTCCAATTCCAGCCAGATTCAATTTATTCACTTACATGCAAATACCATTTCTCTCTAGATATAGGTTAATTAGTAATCAATAAATCATTATCTCGCCCCCCCCCCCCCCACACACAAAAAAATTCTTACAACCAACCTAAAAATATTTTCTGGTTTTAAATAACCTGCAAAGGGTTGATAAGTTGTAAAAAAAAAAAAAAATTATCAAGGTGTACAGTAACTGATATCCTAGGGTCCTTGGATTTGGTTGATGCAAGTATTCTACTACCCAGATGAATAGTTGTTAATGAGCGTTTCAGCTTGCAAACCACTACCCTCATGACCGAGCTATATGAACAGGTTTATAGACAGTGGATATTTCATCTACTTGATAAGGGAAAACTTAAATCTGTATCAAAAGATACAGTGTTTTTCTACATCACTTCAAGTAGCCAGATAATTGATATTACATTTGATTAAAATATCAAAAACTAATTAACAAATGTTGATCAACCCAACTTAGGTTCTCAGCTTTTCTCTTCTACTTAATTTGGGTCAAGTGTACAGCATTTTTTACCTTCTTTTTTAAAAATTTCCAAGGTTCTTTTGTAACAAGGAAATGATATTTTTACTTTTAAATCAATTCACTCCAAGTAAGGTAATAATACCATTAATATGCATGGGCTACTAGGAGTGAAAGAGATTGAGAAGATTTTAGAATAAACCAGAAACAAGGGTTAAGCCTTTACTCCTGTTCAAAAGACCAGAGAGGATTGTGAACCTACCTACTACTATTGAGGAAAAAAAATAGTAAATAAAATGTCAGACTTTAGTCAGAGACATTAGACATATAGAGTTGAGTAGAATTTAGAAGGAATCTGAAACCTAATCCTAAAAAGGAAACAAGGGATAAACCTCTACTCCTGTTCAAAAAACCAAAGAGAAGTGTAAACAGAGCAACCTATCTATTCCTATTATATACAATTGGCAAGCCAATAATGAATACAAAATGGAAGCACTCAAGTTGGCAAGGAAGATCAAGACAAAGTTTTGTTATACGTAAAATTTGTTAAGAAAATTGTAAGTCATAATTATAAAAGAACTGCCACTGAAGATGAGTGGTAATGAAAGTGATAACTTTTTTTCACTAATTTTTCACCCAATACAAGGCCCATGAGCCACTCAAAACAAAGAGTTACTAATTGAGGTTGTTGTATGTCAGGAGGAGGTCAGAAGTGCAGTTTAAGAGGATATATAGAAAAGATTGATTAACACTAGACAGAAAGAGGTTAAGACTGGGGAAGCATCCTCTTAAGAATCCATTCCACAAAGCAGAAGTTCTTGGGAACAAGCTGTCTGAATGGAACTTCATTCTTACAAACAGAATATAAATGGAATGGGAGAGGATTCTTTCCGATATATGTGACATGACAGATCTTAGCTTTGAGGATCTGAACTGATGGAACAAAAAGAATATAGCTCATCAGAACATTTGCCATGGAAATAGCAATAGAGTAGTGAAAGGCTTGTAACATTTTATGTGGGAAAGGGATTGCAGGGTGGAGAATAATTCATCAACACTTCTGAACTCTATCAAAGGCTGCAAAATAAGGACTGGGCAGCTCTAGCCAAAAGCTCCATTTTTGGTCTGATCTGACTCTTGTAACAACAAAGCATAACAGGTGGAGTGCAGTGGTACAGGAAACAGATCATTTTTTTTCAGCATCTTTAGCAATGGATTGTATATACGAGTTCCACTTGACATCTGGGGTGAACAAGAGGCGTTCAAGGCAAGTAATATCCTTGTGGCAACAACCATTCATCGTGTTTATAAGATTATTTAATGAGTATTTGTATCACCATCATATAGCAATTTAAAGAAGAACTAGAGATGTTTTTAAATAGCCTGTTCAGATCTAGTCTCTCATATCGAGGTCATTCATGGCATACAGAATGGTTTAAATTATCAGTTTATATATATATATATATATATATATATATATATATATATATATATATATATATATATATATTAAAAAGAAGGGTGGTGCAAAAACGTTTTTTTAGTTGTAATGTGGATTTATTGAGAAAAATATTATACTTTGTTTTACATAATTTCACGACCGTGTTTCTGGTCTCGCAAACCGTCTTCAGGTGAAAGTGGAGATTTCTACATATTATTAAAAATAATTAATTTTCTTCATGTTCAATGTGGAATATTCTCGATATGAGACATTCTGTTTGTGTTGGCAATCCGAATTTTCTTTAAGTGAAATTATGTAAAACAAAAAGTATAATATTTTTTTCTCAATAAATCCACATTACAACCAAAAACGTTTGCGGCACCACCCTTCTTTTTTTTAATACATACTTTTCTCTCATTGGAACCACTACAACATATTTCTTTTATATATATATATATATATATATATATATAACTAATATTCTCTAATGAGATCAATTATTAAAAATGGCTTCATGCAAATAAATCATCTAAATACTATTAAAGAGGATCCTTCATCAGATTTTATTGACTGGCACTACAGAATCACAAAGAACTTTACCAAATAACAAAAACCACATCACTAAGACTTCCAAAGGCAAACAAATTGGACATGATGCACTAATGGGTTAAATAGATTCAGCATCCTAGCTTAGAAGTTAAATAAACCAAAGAAGGTATGAAACTTAATAATTATTAGATGTAGAGGGTGGGCCCAAATTTTTGGCTTGGGGTGGGGGGAGCAGTGTGAGAGAGAGTGAGTGAAAACACACACACACACACACACACCAAATTTCCATCTTTGAGTGTTCATTTGCATGAAAGGAGATATCACTTATTAGTTGATTCTCATGTTATTTTGTCACTGTGGCACTTTTTGATGCTAGTTCCTACTGACCCAGAGGAGGAAAAATATCCCCCACCCAGCAAATACCCATCTTAGTAAAGTAAATTTCAAGACATCTTACTTTCAGAAACTGTCTTAATTATCAAAATCTTCATATTTCTTTTTCAAAGTTTCCAAGACTCCCCCCCTGTTCGGACTGTTGTTTCACAACATTTTGGCTGTTGTACACTCCAGCCTTCTTCAGGTGATATTAGTTGGAATTTTGAACCAAACCCTTTATTCAGTCCACAGGAGTAGATTATTCTAATTCCACATGCCATGCCTTTGGATATCTCAGTTTCATTTAATTCCCCTTGGTAACTCAACTCTCCAAGTTCTGGTTTCCTCTTTAGGTCATGTCAGTTTTGGATCACTCAGCTAACACTTATCCACTGGGCCAAGTAATATCACCCAAGGAAAGCCAGATTGTACAATGGCCGAAACATCATGAATATGGCAATAAAGATGAGGACAACAGTCCAATGTAAATAATTACAATACTTCATCTCATAAATATAGACAGAACTTTTTCCCCCTATTTGGATAAAATTATGGATATGTGACTTGTTGATAGAAAGGCTAAAGAATTCCAATTATAATAGCATTGTCTCGCCATAATGCAATTTTACACAGAAACAGAATTTTAAAATAATAGCAATAAAAAAAACAAAACAGAGTGGTAGAAAACCAAATGAGGTTGGCTAGGTTATGAATCTGGATCATAATTATGATGATTATTATTAAAACTATTTTTCAGAGATCTTAGATTAATGATTTAAAAAAAATTCTGTTGGTCTTCGAGAGGACCATCCTTCATCGGATCTTGTGGACTGGCAATACAGAATCACTAAGAACTTTACCAAATAACAAAGATCACATCACTTGAAAACTAGCTCAAAGAGAAAAAAATAAAAATATTGACTTTCTATATTAGTTCAAACAAAAGGTTAAAAATTAAGTCTTAATACTAGAAAGAGCAATAGCAGTAGACTTGAGAAATCTATTTTCTTGAAAAAAATGCCAATGAATGTTGTATGTTTCCTTATAAGGAAACAGATAATCTCACCATTACTATTTAGATGCATTAAAAAATTTAAAATTAAACATTATCAGTGTCTTCTGTATAAAATTGTAATCAAGACTTGTCAGATTTCATTCCTTTGCCCAACAGGAGTCCATTGCAAGCGTAAAGTCCTTTCAAAGATGAAATGCCCAACAGAATTTTTTCCCTTCATTTTGTCATTCTTTTACTCATTATGAATTCTGTAATCAAATTTTGTGAAAAGCAAGACAGTTCATGAATAAATTAAGAACCCAGTCCTTAACATTCTTGGAATGAAATCAACAGCAGGAAGGAAATGGTCACTTCTGATGGGACAAACTACAAATACCAACTGAAAATGAAGAATACAACAAAGGAATATCAGGACAAACACAGAAATATTTATTGCTCATCCAGTTAGGGAACAAGCAAGTTGTTTTAGGGAGGGGTGAAGAGAAAACATTCAAAGACATTGAGCACTTTATCAATAAATAGGAAAATGCATAAATAATATATGAATTGGTGAATGAAAGAGGCTTTGTTCTAAAATGAACCAAAAGAATAATACTCCCAGGATGGATGAAGATAATTTTGTCATATTGACATTTGGACAGCTGCTCAGTCAGTGCACATGTTCTCATGATGCAAACCCTAAATTATAAATAAGTTACAAAAAAAAAAAAAAAAAAAAAAAAAAAAAGAAAAAAGTTCTCCCCTAAATAACACTGAAATTACAAGAAGGCAGGGAGATAAAAAACTATATTCTTCTACAGAATGTCAAAGCTTGCTCAAATTTCAGGTTTTAAAAATATATTGTAATAATAATAAAATTCCACTTTTATGTTCTGATATTCCTTGAGTAAAAAGCAGGACTTTTTATGGTCCAGTGAACAACTTTCATTTTCTTGCACCAAGATAAACAATCACCAGAAGTAGGCTATTACAAATTCTTCTGTGAGGAAAGAAACTTAAAAAATACATCTTCTGTGTCATCTGAAAGATTTTGAACAATTTTTTGACAATTTGTCTGAATTTCTGGA